CAATAGGAAGTACATGAAGACAGAAAACTGCTCATCAAGACATTTTGTAGAATCTAAAGATTATCTATAAATGAACTCACTTGAATTGTACTTCCTTACCTCCAAGGTATTTTCTCTGAAGTTTAGGTTGGCAATTCAAAAGCTCTGATCCAGGATTTGCAGTGGCATGAATGTTATATGCCAACTATGGATGTACATGAAGTCTAAATGGTCAAATGGTAGGATTTGGCTTGCATTCTCAGATTGAATTAAGTGTTCGGTTTAAGATCCAAGTACTTATATTCTGTTAGATGGGGGTCTCATAAAACTACAATATTCTTTTCCCTTTTGCCTTCCCCTTAGGTAGAGGCATTCAATCCTTGTTGTGTCTTTCTTGATTCATCCATGTCTTTTTGGTTACACAAAATACCTACAGAGGTTCTTCCAGGGGTAGAGTTTGATGGGGATTCAATTTCTCCGGTCTCGATCAGGAGGGGGTGGTAATCCTTCTAAATGACTTAAACAGACACAGTTCAACCTCTGTGAAAACAAAGGCTGAACATTTGAATGGGAGTTGCTGAATACATTTATTTTGCCTCATCCTGAACTTTTGCTTTCCTATCAGATTTCTCCATCTTAAGAGTCACAAGGTAGAATTATATCATCAGCCCCTTTTCTACAGTTTCTACGCACACAGCGAGAGCCTTCTGCGTCAGTTCTGATGATGACTCACTAAGAATCCAATAAGCATGTCACAGCAAACAGGACATTTACGAATAAAACGAATCAACACAGATATTTTAGTACACATAAAAATGATTTAGCATTTGTATTAGGAGTAAAGAGTTTAATTAAAGCATTTACTATGTTCCAAAGTGCATCATAACACTTCTTTGTTTTCAATATTTAAAACCATTAAACGTTCTGTTTATTTGCAGGTTTAAAATAGATTCTGAATCCCAGCTCTTCAATGTGTCTTCTGAACTCCACTGTACACTGAGGTAATATTTGTCTGCTAGCTTCACGGAGTCCATATTTTTGTGTCAGGCACCAAAGGACATGATTAATTGTGTCTCGTAGGGAGGCTGATGTTAGACACGAGAGAGTTAAGGGCACTCGGGTCTAATGCACTCTAACTACTGTCAAATCCAGGCTAACACACACTATCTAGAGGCAGCAAGAGCTGGACTCCAAATGTCAAGCACTGTTAAAGTAACTCTAGATTTAACCACGTCTAGTGCTGCGGCCATGCTCTGAATTCAAATCTGTTGGTTTTGATTAGCTATATATAAAGATATTGTTTTATTTCACTGAAATTATGCTAATCCATCTTTTATTTATATTCACAGATTTCACTAAAATAGGATAAAATACATTTCAATAAAATACATATGCGTACACATTTTAATTCCTCATTAAGAATTTATTCTGTGGTCTCTAAAAGTGAGAGATTGTTTAAGATGTTCAGCTAATGTAATATCAAAAAGACGGCCATTATCAAAACATGTCATGTGAAAGCAGACATAGCCAGAAGGATAAGTAGGAACTAGGGCATATAAATGCTTGGGTGGGCATTGTTCAGACAGCCTGTCAGGAGACCAGAATAGCATCATCTCCATGCACTCCGTTAGCAGCATTCTTGTTTTTCACATTTTGAAATTTATTATTATTTTATTTATGATTATTATGACTATTAATCAGTATTGGTACTGAATACTGATATTTGTTGTTATTAATAATTAGTGCCACTGCTGTCAAATCAATTAATCATGATATTATGTACATTATGTGTTTACATATATTATGTAAACACAAACTTTAATTTTGGATGCGATTAATCGTGATTAATCGTTTGACAGCCCTAATATATATATATATATAATTTGCTATTTTGGGCTTTTTTTAGTTTTTTTGCCCAAGAGTGTATTTTATACTTGAAATGTAAGAATATAACATCATTTGTGTTTGTTTTGCATCAAATAGACAAAATCTCGGAAGAATTACAAATAATCCTATAATCCACACACTTGAACTGAATACTGTTGAATGTCCTATGTGTATGCAATGTATCAATGTTTTTGACATAGTTTCATACTGTCATTTTTCCAGTGCTGACCCATCAAGGGCTCTGTGTGAAATGTGTTGACTCTGGGCAGCAGGGCAGTAAAGGCCAGCACATGGGGCAGCTGAATGGCTGATGCTGAATTGTGCTGTTTCAGCAGACTCTTATGCCTGTTCAACAGGAACACAAATGAGGGATGGGGTGTTGTTAAGGATGTGGTTTATGCTTATATCCATTGAAAAGTTCTGGATCCAGATTATCAAAATTAAAGCAGTAACATTTTGAATCGCAAAGCTGGTAAGTCATACCCCTGGTTTTACAGACAAAGCTTAAGCCTATAGTCCCAGACTAAAATGCATGTTTGAGATGTTTCAACTGTAAGCAACTTGCACTGACATATCTTAATATAATTGTTTTGCCTCAAGATGCACCCCGGTAATGTTTTTACACACAGCCACGTCCAAGTGATCTGAGGGCGCGGGCGCCGGAAGTGATCTCTCGCGCATGTACGTCACTCATACAATTGTTTTATTTATTTTTTTATTTTACGACGGTTTAAACATCCCGGATAAGCGCAAATTAGTACCATTTTAATTAGCCGTCTTACCTACAATCTCTGTTCTGTGTAAACAATGAGTGACGATCACTTGGACGTGGCTGTGTTTACAAGAGGTAAAAACAATATAAATACTGTTCATTTTCTCACACAAACCGCTCGTTTCGTGTCTTAGGCCATCAATGTGTACTTACATTTACGAGTCATTAAATCATGATTAATTAATTCTGTGCATGCTCTTTGAGGAAGTTACCATAGACCTGCATTATATGACTAACAGACAAGAACGGTTTTACCTAAAAATATCAAAATTGAAACTACTGCGCAAACAAAGACACCTACATCTTGGATGCCCTTGAGGTAAGCTAAAACATACCAAAAATTAATTTCAAAGTGAACTATCCCTTTAATGTTGTACCTGTTGATACATAGTTTAGTTGAATGCATTGTTTTTCACTTGTGTGCATCATCAATATGGTTTTTGCTGTAGATGTAATCTTTGGCCAGGAAAAGATTTCCTCATTATTTTTTTCCCCCAGAGATGCTCCAACGTTACGTAAAGCTTTTGAACAATCACGCTAATCTAATCATCTCCATGAGTGAGTTTGGACTTCAGTAGCTCTGCAATCTGCTACATAATGTGCCTTCAGAATCTGTGGATCTCATCTGGCAGAGCACGGCTCTGTCTCTCTGCTTTTATTCGCTCACGTGGTCTCGTGTGCTTTTGACATGCCCATTAAATGCTTAATTACCTTCCCTGGGAAAAGAGGTTTTCTTAATCATGACAGCCCCATTACGTTCATCTGGTTAGTGACAGTGTTTTTCAGCCATTTGAGAATTGAAAATAGAAGACAGACAAGACAACAAATGTACAGAGCTCATTGTTTTCCACTGTTTGTTTATCGCGGGCTGTCTCTGCTCAAACAGCTTTTATTACCAGCCATTATCTAGTAAGGTTACATGAGGTACGTCAACACTCGGCTACTCTTTGATGATCGTGCACTCTCGTGCAATATGGACTATTTGTGCAACTACTAAATTCTCATACGGCACTTCATTGTTTAGAATGAAAATAATGTAAGCTGCAGCAAATCTAACCCACTTTTTAGTCCCTTCCTTATCTTTTCATTGATTTAGAGCAGATTTCAGACATTAAAACACTGTTCGTTAGTGATTTCAAAGCATTTGCTTGATATTTAACCACAGTTCCTTCCGGTCACATTTAACTAACTTTGATCATTTCATGGATGGTGATGATGGAGTTGTTAGAAGATCAGGCTGAGCGATCAAAAGCTCAGGTCTCAGTCACAGACAGACAGCTATAGTGGTTCCTATCAGATTAGAGGAAGATGGCCACATTGGGTGGGCAGGTCAAAGACTATCTAAGGCTTTTATGGTCTATAAAAGCCACAGAAACTCAGCTTAATGAGTGTGCACAAAGGTCATGGGAATGCTCGTTGTTTATATGGACAAACTAAGGTTAAACGCATTAAACCTGTTTTTTTTTTGTCATTGTTTTTTGGATCTTTTGTCAGATACAAGCCAAAAGCATTAAGCCACACTTAAAATGTATGAATTTTATTGCATTCCATAACAATATTTCAAGTGGCAGCTTCAAACAAATGATGCTAGAACTAGCTTCAGCTTTTGCCGCCTTTTTTTCTGGTTCTAAAGACTCTTATGCTCAGAAAGGCTGCATTTATTTGATCAAAAATAAAGGAGAAACAGTAATATTGTGAAATATTATTACAATTTAAATAACTTTTCTATTTTGATATATTTTGAAATGTCATTAATTCCTGTGATGGTAAAGCTGAATTTTCAGCATCATAACTCCAGTCTTCAGTGTCACATGATCCTTCAGAAATCATACTAACATTCTGATTCGCTGCTCAAGAAACATTTCTTATTATTATCAATGTTGAAAACTGTTCCTTTTCACACAGATGTCCTACAGGTAACTACATATTTAGTTACCTATGAACATGATCCACTAACATCTGACAACCAGAAAATTTGGAATTTTGAAAATTGAACATTTGGTTTGTTATTAAACCCAGTTTTTGTGAAATGTTTTGCTTTAAAAGTGCGTGCTTGTGCTCTCCGTCTTTAAAATAAAGGCCACTTTGTATGATATTTTGTTATATACTGCAAAAAATGCATACATTATTAAGTGTGGCTTATACGTTACCAAATATATTCTCTGACCACTGTATTTCTCATGGCTGTTTGATGGTCATGCATTTTTTATGAATGTCACTCCTGTACACGTGCACACACACATATGTACAAAAATGCTTTTTTTTTCCCCCAGAGAGCCTCGCAGCAGAATTCCCAGCACAAGTTTACAGGCAAATTCCAAGTACAGGCTGAATGAAATTCCCATGTCATGTCCTGTTCTCTACTAGTCGTCCAACCATCCCCCTCCTTCTCCCTCTTTTCCAGACTCCCTCTCTCTCTCTCTCTCTCTCACTCAGTCTTCCAGACCTCCCTCTTTCCCTTTCTTTCATACTCACTGCTCTCCAGAGTTTCATTCTGACTGGTCTGTGTCTGTCAGTGGTGAATATTTCTGCCTCCTGCCTTCTCCGTGTCACATTCCAGCTTCTAGGGCACAGCGTCCTCCTGACATGGGTTATAAAGAGAAGCACAGCTCTAGTATGCATCTGCACTCGGCGCTATGACCACCTTTTGCCACCAGTGAATTTTTTGAATTGTTTTGAATAGGCAAACAGACTCTCCAGGAGAGTTTACCTTCCTTCTTTTTGCTCCCTTCTTTGAGACCTTTTGGACTTGTATGGATTCTCATTTATACAGAAAGCTCACTTATGCACAGTGGAATACTCAAATGAAACAGTCTTTTACGGCTTCAGCTCAGATGTGTGCATGGACAGAATACAATGGGTGAGTTTGAGTGGAACTGTATGATGATCATGTTGCAATTGTGGGTTTGGCAGTTACTGATTAAACAAAATTAAATGTCACACTTATTTAATGCTTATTAAATAGTTAATCATTATATTTAATAATAAAAATTAATACATATACTTATTTAATATATTTAAAAAAAAAAGTTTTACAATTTTATATATATATATATATATATATATATATATATATATATATATATATATATATAAAATAAAATATTTAAGATATTAAATATAAAATATTTTCTATTTTGATAAATTATACCGAAATGTTTTACAATTATAGTAAATAATTATATTTTTTATTATCAGATAATGTAATATTGGCTTATTTATAGGTGTTTCACTGCCCTTTTACTTTAATGTTTTTATTTAATGTTTTACAAGTGAAATGTCAACTAGGTATTGACTATAACTGTAACATATACGGTTTAGTTACATTAGTTGACATCCCCTGTCTATGGCCATATATACAGATATGATCTATATCATTTTTTCTGCTGAATAAATATACTCTGCTAAAGCTATAAATTATCAAGGTTTGCATAATGTGGTTCAGAGCTCACTATAAGGAAGATATAATAACACGACGCGCCATTGCAATTGAATTGACTATGCAACTAGTTTATCCACCCCTTCAACAAAAAAAAAAAAGAAAAGAAAAGGGGAACACCTTTGCTCTCTGTGTTAAATAAAAGCTGTTGAATGACTCTCAGGGGTTCTGGACTCTGTTTGAACAACAGCACGCTCGCAGGATTTCCTTTAACACTTCACATTAGATTGATGTCCTTTCTCTGCTCAGGAGGGCCAAACAGGGTCAACATCATCCCTCAAGCACAACCAGACACCCACTGAGCCCTGAAACAAAACCGAAATGGTGATTATGGCTGTTTGACACAATTAAAGCAAGTTTAAGATTAACAATAAGGTTCGGTTTGTTACCATTAGTTAATGCAGGTAATTCATGATTGTTCATAATATATTAACCAATGTTGATTTACACAACTTCAAATGTTAAGAATTTATGTAAAAATTAACATTAAGCTAGATTAAATGCTGTAAAGGTATTGCAATTTTATGTTAGCTAATGCAGCAACTAAACTTAACACACTAAACCCAACTGTAAGGTGTTGACGCTTTATGTTACTTAGTAGTGCACGCACAATTTCAGGCCCCAGATACCTCAATCAGGTTTCTTAGCATTATATTCGTATCTAATGGCATCACTAACAGGAGTTTCTCTGTGCTGGCCACCGGAGTCAGTGAGGAGGAAGTGTCCTTTAGTCATACCTCTTATTTTATACGTCCACCCTCAAATACACAAAGACCTCAATGTCTAGACCATAATTGAACTATTAGCTAATAGCTACCTAGCCAATTGTTAGAGTGTGATATCCTTGTGGCCATAGACCTCATGACTAGAAAGAAACAATACTTTCCCTCACCTTAAGAGTTTGTCTCACTTTTAGAGCCTGCTGTCGCCCTGCTCTGGTTCTCGAAGGTCTCTAATAGAAGGACCAGATGTTGGCAGGACTTCCTGCAAATCAAGTGGTCTCAGACAGCTGCTTTGTGTCAGCTCCTGTCCCGGTTCCCGCTCCTAGAGCAGTAACGGTGGGGCCAGTGGCCCTGAACACACACAGGGCGGCATTGTTCAGTGAGACAGGCTGAACACACAGGATTCAAACAGGTCTGAGTTGAAGTAAGTGTGGTGGCCAGAGACTTCAAACTGAATGGCCATGTTGTTTCAAACCTGTATGAGTTTTCTTTCTCCTGTGGACACACAACACAAAAGCAGATATTTAGAAGAATGTTCTCGTTGCTTTTTTCCATTCATTGGAAGCATACAATAACTTGCGGCTGTCAAGATCCATAAGGACAAAAAGCAGCATAAAATGACAAAAAAATATATCATTCTCACATACTTGAAAAGTAGTGTCACAATGAATAACATTTGATCATCAGCTTTTACATATTTCCTGAAATCTTTTAATGAGCCTGCTGTTGTTCATTATGTTCCCTATTTCACGTTTTTTTTTTGTTTTGTTTTCTCCAGTTGTTCTCCAAACTTAATTTACTATTTTCCCTGTTGGTTTGGCTGGTTGAAGTCACAATGCACCGTTATAATGTAATTCCACAAAGTGGAAAAAAGCCTTCTGTCCGTATGAATCAAGCTCAAAAATACACAGGACCCTGGCAGGGAGCATGTGGTATTTTATGAGCCCCTGTACCATTATACTCTGGGATTTGCCTGTTTTGTATGAGATATGTGTTTTGTGCAGCATTACGGCCAGCCTGTCACATGCTTTCATGATTCAGCATATATCAGCACTGCCAATGGGGTGCATTTAAGCAATTAAAAAGAGAACAAGTGGCTATGGTTTAAAAGAAAAATGAGGGAAACAAACTAAAAACAATGGGCCGTTGTGTTGTCTGTTTTAGGGTTACGTCATTTAAAAGCAAGCCTGCCATGTTTACCATTTTCAAATTTAAAGTCATACTCTATATGGTAATAAGGGGCCATTCACACAGAACACGTTTTGCATTGTGTAAACATACATTTTTTTTGAACCTCGCAGTTTTTTCAATTACACTGCCCTTCATCTTGCATTTTTAAACCTCAAAAATGGGTTTTGTGTTAAATAGCCATAGTCCCCAATTGTTTATATTTGTAATACTTATTTACTAAAATCTGTTATTTGGTTACCCTCAAGTCGTTTACCCAAAATAAGTTTTTGCATTCTACTCCACTGCTTTTCCATTGTTTTTCAATGTAAAACACACTAGATGGACCCAGTTGTGCATCTCATGTCATATTTAGAATGCAGAGTCATGTTAAAGGGATAGTTCACCCAAAAAATGAAAATTACCCCATGTTTTACTCATCTTCAAGCCATCCTAGGTGTATATGACTTTCATATTTTAGACGAACACAATCTGAGATATATCCAAAAATGTCCTGGCTCTTCCAAGCTTTGTAATGGCAGTGAATGGAGGAGATTTTGAAAGTGCATCAATCCAAGTAATCCACACTGCTCCGGGGGGTTAATAAATGCCGTCTGTCGGAAGTGTTAAATCTGAATATTTTTCTTACACAAAAGCATCGCTTCGCTTCAGAAGGCCTTTATTAACCCCCCAGAGCTGTGTGGAGTACTTTTATGGTGGATGGATGCCCTTTTTTTGGGGCTTCAAAATCTCATCCTCCATTCACTGCCATTATAAAGCTTGGAAGAGCCAGGAACCTTTTGAATATAACTCTGATTGTATTTGTCTGAAAGAAGAATACACATAGAATGGCTTGAGGGTGAATAAATCATGGGGTAATTTTCATTTTTGGGTGAACTATCCCTTTAAAAGAGGTTCCTTTAAAAAAACAATGGAGACCTTGCTTTTTTTTTTTATTCTACTGCCCTGCATCTCAAAAACGACACAAAGGGACTATAACTACACCACAAAACAACAACACTGGATGCATTACAGCAAACATTCCAAATCCATTTGTCATGTTTCCAGAATTGGCAAAAGCACAGGGAGTACCTCACAAATAGAACGGAGCATCCATTTACTGTTAGCTACTCAATGCAGGATAAAGTGATGCATCTAGTGTGGACATCAGACAGTTTTTGACACAATGCAACATGATGCTGTGCTTATACGCAAATATATTACAAGTCTTCTGACGCCATTTGATAGTTCTGTGTTCCATGAAAGAAGGAAATGTATACAGGTTTGGAACGACATAAGTGTGAGTAAATGAAAGAATTTGGATGAACTATCCCTTGAAACCTTCATATGCCTTTCATGAGCTTGTGTGGTGAACAAGTTCAGCATAATAAACCCAAAATACTTTTAACAGTTCTGTGGCAGCCATAAATTCTAATCCTGGTTAGAAGCTTGATCTTGCATAAATATGGTAATACTTAGCATCTGTCTACACAGACGGTCTCTTTCTTTCTCAAATAAACTCTTATACTGCAGATCAGTTAATGTGTTATGTTAATAGAGTTGACTCTTTGGCCTATAATTATGGAGTTGCTAACTGTTTAATTCTGAGCCAGGTGTGCGTGGCCTCTAGCAGATCAACTGAGCAAGCAACGTTTCAGCTGTTGCAGGCATGTAACCATTGCCATTACACAATGGCTTCCTTTTTTTTTTTTTGAGATTATTTTACACCCAGTGTAGCAAGTGACTTCGACCAGCTGTTTTGATTTGTTGAGTCTTAAAGTTTAATCAATATTTTTTGGAAGCAACTAAAATGTGAAGTGTATGATGCTTTGTAAGACAGAATTGAAAATGAAATAAATGATCAAGTGTTCTTCAAAATAGTCAAATGGGCCTCTCAGGTGATCAAAGACGATACTGTGTACGATACCATGCAAAAAGCCTGGCTGAATGTTTGTTTGTTTATCCTGTGGGGTCTGCTCTGAATGTGTGCGTGTGCTTCCATGTGTGTTAGTGTGATCTGTCAGTAAGAGCATAATCTGGCCTCCGGCTTGCTTACGTGGTCTGTGTTCTGAGAGACAGGACCTTTGTGAAGGACAGTGGAATGGCACGAATTTTACAAGGTATCCATTAATACTTCAGTGTGAGTATTAATATTTTTTTTAAGGCAAGCATCACTGTTTTTAAAAACGACTGTTTCTCAAATGGAGTACAATATGTAATATATAAGAGCCTCTGGATATACATTTCTGGAAGTTGTACATTCCAAGAATAATTACCCATGACCCCAAGTTTAAAAGAAATGTTCAATGGAGAATAGGATTCAAATGGGAATGCCATGCCAGCCAGTTACACTCTTAAAAAGAAAGGTTCCTTATTGGCATTGATGGTTCCATGAAGAGAGTTTAACATCCATGGAACATTTCCATTGCACAAAAGGTTCTTAACAGTGGAAAAAGGTTCTTAAGATTATTAAAATGCACACTAAGAAAAAAGAAAAAGAAAAAAAGGTTATTTTAGGAACCGGTAAAAGAAAGGTTCTTTGAAGAACGCAAAATGGTTGTTCTTGGTATCACTATGAAAACCCTCTTTTGGCATCTTTATTTTTAATGCACACAGAGTCGTACAAACACAGAACACCAACATTGACATCCCTTGGGGCTGGTTTGAACATAGCTCTCCACTAAAGCGCTCAAAAAAGTTGATTCTACTAAAACGTTCTTTAGTTGAAAGCTTCGTTCCGTTTCCAAGAAGCCAGACCTAAATAAACTCATCATGTTTTTCTTGCCGTTACAGCAAAAACCAGCAGCATGTTAAACATGGTTCTCGAAAGCATCTAATAGTCTCTTTTCTCTCGTGGTGGTTAAGGGTCAAAGAAACTGGTGCTAAATCAGTACAAAAGGGCAACATCCTTCAACGGCCCATTGTTTTTCATCCAAGTAAATCTCTCATCATGACAATAAATGGTTAAATGTGGCATTATAAAAACATTTCTGGAAAAAAAAAAGGCTATAGTGACGTTAAATAATAGTAGTCTCTCGTCTTGAGGCAGCTGAGGTATGGAAAAGCTTTAGTTTCCCCATCTGTGTGGGGTTAAGTACATTTAGGTCCTCCAGCTCCACTGTTCTGCTTCACTGAGCTAACTCTCACTGAGTTGGAGAGAGCCGAGACTGGCCCTGCATTCTGAAACCTAATATTAGAGAAGAAAAAAGCAGGGCAGAAAAAAAAGGGGAAGAAAAAAAAAACACAAGGGAGAGGAAGTGTAGCATTAAGGTTGGCAAATGAATCTGCCCAAAGTCATGTTTTGTGATTATAATGAGGGTGAAGCGGTGTGGTGCAGGCAAATGAGAGTCAAATAAATCATGGCTGTATTTAGGATCTCAGGCTCTAACATGAAATACTCAGTGATGCAAGATAATATCTGTTCGATCCTGTGAAATCGTAACTGGAGTTTAGTATTTGCAGTCTTTGGGTTTTTACTTTGGATATGTTAGTGTACTCCTGAAAGGTGAAAAAATGCTTTAGTAAACACATTTAAAATGTACTGTCTTTCTCTTCTAAAACGGACTAAAAATACTGATGACTCATCTTGCACTCACACGCATATCCACTTTTTTTCCTTCTAATTCATGCTTGAATGACCCATAAACCATAAAATATCACAGGAAATTAATTTATAAATGTACAATTTAAATGTAAAAAAAGAAATTTGCAAAAAAATATCAATGAAATTTTTTTTTAAATTTTAGTTAAAAATGATCACCAATATCTCCCACGTAATTATGTATGTATATATATATATATATATATCATTAAAAATGATTTGAAATTTTACAGTTCAATAATCTATTATCTCCCGTGCAATCTATCTATCTATCTATCTATCTATCTATCTATCTATCTATCTATCTATCTATCTATCTATCTATCTATCTATCTATCTATCTATCTATCTATCTATCTATCTATCTATCTATCTATCTATCTATCTATCTATGTATGTTAAAAGCTTCTCATTCTGTTCTTTGTTAATGACAGTGTTTCTGTAAATGTGCAGTTATGTCTATAAACCATGCAGGCTCATGTTGAATAAAGTCAAATGAATTATTAGAAGTCAAATGTGTATGTGGGATTATGTGATCAGACATAGACATCTTGAGCATTCATTATGCCTTCTCTCCTAATCTCCCTTTATGAGGTGTGAGGAGATTGAGTGGTTTGTGGTTACAACCAAGTCTGGATGGGATAAAAATCGCATGATACAAAAATAAACCAGTCATTAGTAGAGGGAATTCAGTTTGCTTTGCGTCTGATCAAACGCTCATCTAAATCTGTTTATATTTGAGGGGTTTGATTATATAGCAAAGACATGACTAGTTGAGGGATTCCATTGTTTTACACTCTCTCCATTTTATATTCTGTATTGTCATGGACCTTCCTTATCTTTCTCTGAATATTCTGTGATCAGAGTTTTTCCTTCTGATCAGAAACAGCTGCTGGAAAACTGTGTGTAGTTCTCTATTTTAAAACATTTCCTCTAAAAATAGAAATCTGAAACTCCCCAATGAATCTTTTTCTGTGATGTCTAGTATAATCTCTCTCTCTTATGAAAACAATGATGAAGTCTGAATAATTCCCCCTGCTCTTTCGTTTCTCTTCTGAATCTCATGAGTTCACGATAAACAGACCCCTGTGAAAAGACATATTTTCATAAGGCCACTTGCAGTATCAGACTCCCTGTGATATTTAGCGACTTAAATGGTTTTCTGCTTGTATCCCAATCCTCTGACGAAAAAGTTAATGTAATGCTGTTTTTTTGGGGTGAACTGTCCCTATAATCTTAACAATTTTTTTTTTTTACCATTCCACCTGTTTGTTTGTTCTTGAGGAACTTAAGGCACAGAAAAATGCCCAACCAGCTAAAAGTGACCTTCTTGGTCAACAATGCAGGCTTGTGGGAGGTCTAGTTGACATTGACTCATTTTGGCCCTGGCTGTGAATGCTAATGACAGCAGATGTCCACCCATTATTGTCTCAACTTAAATATCATGTTATAGTTGAGAAACAGGTGCTTGAATTCCTGTTAAAATTATTAGATCCTGGAAACATTTATAGAAGTTTGTTGTTTGTGACTATGCGCTTGAAACGGGAGAACAGCCATGCTGCTTGACTTATTCAATGAGGAACAACATCCTTTTAGAGTTACTCGTTTGCTGTACTTCTATTTGTGAAGTCAAATGAAAGGGTATTGGCTTGTGCCAGCTTTGAAGCTCAGGTTTGGGCTTAGTTTGGCTCGGCGTCTGATTAAAGCCAGGCTCCGTTGGTCCGGGCCTTCAAATACTACAGGCTTCTGGCTTCAATAAAGTCCTGCCAAAAATGAGCTGCCGCTTTCCTCTCTTGATTGCGGTGCATAACGGTGGTTCCATTTGGAGGATAACGCTGAAAACGCTCTCAAAATATTTGTAATAGACAATTCCAGGGAACATAGTAAGCACAATTCATTCAAAAATGTTATGGGCCTTTTGACAAATCGGTTTTCTCGTGAATGTACAACAACACATTTGACATTCTGTATTTTGCCTTTATAGGCTGACGTATTTCATTGTTATTATAGCATGATAGAATTACATCTCTCATTATTTTGTTTAATATTTTCATAAAATGATATGCTGTGCTTAACTTAAACTTAAAATTTGAATTTTTAAGGACGTCATATACAGACTGATCTCATGAAATGGCGTATGTATGACACGCCAATTCGTATTTCCATTTTTGGCGTGCTATCAACACGCATAATCGCTTTTCAGCGTGTTTATCAACGCCTTTGACTTAACGTTATATTACTGTATTATGTATATATAGATATATGACCTACCCCAACCCCGTCCCTAAACCTACCCGTCACTGGGGTTAATGCCATTTATGAGTGTTCTCCTACCATCCTAGGAAAAGAAATATCGCTCCACAGATGTAGATATAGATTTTGCTTCGTTTCGCTCGGACATTTAACGGCGTACACATACACGCGGAATCACTCAGACATTTAATGGCGTAGACATACACGCAAAAGATTTCGGCGTGGACATACACGCGGATAGCTCAAAATGCGTATAGATAACACGCCACTTGACTTGAAAGTGGCGTGTATGTTTACGCAAAGTCATGATGTCATGTTGTCATATAAATGTTTTTGTTTTCTTTGAATCTGAACATATTTAAACCAAACCTGTCTGTCACAGGATAGGCTAGGATAACCGATTTAACTTATTACTTATTTAAAGGATTAGTTCACCCAAAAAATGGAAATTCTGTCATTAATTACTCACCTGAGCCACTTCTGTACTCTCCACTGACAGCTACGCAACTACCACTTTGATGAGACAAGAGATCGAAAAATTAATCCTAAACCACTCAATTCATATGGATTAGTTTTACGATCTCTTTAGGGTCTTTTTGAAGCTTCAAAGTGGTAGTTGCGTAACGGTCTATATGGAGGGACAGAAAACACTACACTTTTGACAATGTGTAGTTTGTGTATTTTGCCTTAATGAATGATGGGATAAAATTGCTTTTCTGTGATCTCTCATAATTTTGTCTAATATTTCCCCCCCATATTTTTTAATGAAATCATCCTTTTTAAGCTTTAAGATGAAATTACTGGCCTCTTTTAACCTTGTATTGATATTGGAAGAAGCTAAGCAATTTAGATCTATTTTAATATGATGACCAGTTACGACCCATGAGATTTCTGTGGGAAAGAAGGACTTGTCCTGCATGGGAAAAGTCAAGTGAAGTTTTCCAAAAACATGAAATGTTATATACCACAAGAACAACAATTTACTGTTTTCCAAAAAATAGTCTGAAGTACAGATATGAAAACATTAAACAGAATAATTTTGCAATCTGTTACATGCAAAATTAGAAAGGTATGATCACTGACTAGTCATTTACCACCTACTGTATGTCATATATATTGCTCTCACACCAAATCCTGATATTCGCATTGTGACCAAGGTTCATTCTTAAAAAAATCACGTCATAATTCAGTAAGCAGAATTTTATGTTTTACTCATTGTGGCTTTCAAATTGTAAGATAATTGGCCTGTCCCAAGCGAACTTTGTACAACTTCAACACACAATATTATTATTTTTTTGTCTAGTTAGGGAGGGTTTTGGTCCTGACTAATCACTGTGGTTAAACGGAGGAGTGTGTGTACAGGAAAAGGACTCATAGTGATACTGTGTGATGTATGAACTCTAAGTTTGGGAAAATAACGTTTTTCCACTGAAGGTCTTATCATAGCACTGAGGGGGCTGCTCTGTTATATAGATCACTGTGACTCATACAGTAGCCCGACATTTTTTTCTTTTGCTTTGTCCATCAGTTTTGAAGAGCCAAAGGGAGGATGCTGAAGTTTCTTTCTCATTGTGTCTTGCTTTCTTTTGTTCTCTGTTCTTTGCAGTGTGACCTTAAAGTTCGCATAGATGGACCACTATGTATCGACACACTCCAGGTAAGACTCTGCGATATTAAAATTCTCATGCTATCCTGTGTTAAACAGGTAAAAAGAACCACAAACATGTCGCTGCAAAACAATAACATCAGCAGATCAAGTAAGACTTGAGCATCTCAGTATTAATAACAGTAATTCATTTGTGTTGCTGTAATTTTTGCAAAAGTACAACCATCACAGACAGTAGCACTTTGCAAAAGGTTATGTGATTGTCTTGCATGGAGGCTTCACATAGCATTTGAGTAGTTACACCTGAAAATACTGTTTAAACATCCAAAATATGGTGCAGAGCCATGGGAGATATTCATAATTATAAGATAGTAATGAGGGTGAATGAAGAGCCTCATCAGACTGAAAGACTCAACAGTTACATGTTACATAATGAACAGTTGCTTAGGAGTGCTGGGTATTTTAAACAGGTATTTCCATGTAAATGGTACCATTTAGGGCTTTAAAAACATGCAGTTAAAAATTAGATTCCCAAGAAGTTAAACTGACTTTTATACAAGCTGTTTTATTGTGCATTTATTTTATTTTACTTTGACAATATTACTGAATTCTGAATTTTCTGTCTAAAAACAGATTTTTTTGTTTTTGTAATTTTCTAGCAATACATTTTTAACAAAATTTAGAAAATTTAATTATGTACACTACACCATTTAAAAGTTTAGAATCAAGATTTTTGTTTTGAAATAAATTAATACTTTTATTTCGAAAGGTGCATTCAATTGATTAAAAGTGACAGTGAAGACATTTATGATGTTAGAGATTTAAATTTGAAATAAATGCTGTTCTTCTGCACTTTCTATATATTAAAGTATGTTAATTGTTTCATACATTGTTTTTATATTGTATGAATACAATACAATATGTAATGTGACACTGAAGACTGGAATAATGATGCTGAAAATTCAGTTTTGCCATCACAGGAATTATAAAATTTTAAGATAAATTAAAATAGAAAACAGTTTTAAAATGTGATAAAATTTTATCATAATTCTGTTTTTACTGTATTTTTGATCAAATAAATAAAGCCTTGGTGAATAGAGAGACTACTTACTGATCCTAAACTTTTGAATATCACCATATAAGGTAATAAGTAAAAATGATGACACTGTTGTCATGTAAATGCCTGTTCACACCAAGAACAATTATAAAGATAACTATAAAGATAACTATATTAGTGTCCGCAACCAATGCACAATATTGTTCTGTTTATTCTAAGCGTGCGCTGCAGTTACGGTCTGCCGCTTTAAATGCTCGAGCTCTATAAAGCAGGATGGATTCTGATTGGCTGTCAATGTTTCTATCGTTCATCAGCTGGAAAACATTGTTGCTCTGAAAGTGATTCCAATAGTATCGTTTCCCTGTGCCGTTATCGTTAGTTGTGGTGTGGACTCTGCTATTCTTTTATATTTAGAACGATTTTTTTAGAACAATATCTTTATGGTTATAGTTATCGTCCTTGGTGTGAAAGGCCTTGGTTCAATATGGATGCAGTCAAGAAGTTCAAGAACTCTGAGGTGGGAGAGGGCAAAATCACAATTTTAAGGATAAAAACATTTGAAAACTAATATTTAAAAAAATCTGTAATTTCTCACTCACACAAAAAAAGAGAAAACAAGTTTAATGATAGTTATATATAGCCTATATATATATATATAATAACACGCACCTATATCTGTGTAAAGTGTCAACAGTCTAATTCCTTATTTACGCTGAAAGAGCAGCCTGTCTTCCTCTAAGTGAGACAGACCAAGACTCTACATTCCTTTACACCCACGTGAATGACTGGCTCTGAGTGCCGTCTACCTTCAGCCCAGCCCCAGACTATACTGAAAAACATTTACTAACCCAAGCTTTCTGTCCAACCATCCTGCCACACTGATTCTGTGTTGTTTGTGTTCAACCACCTTTGTTTCATTACATTTTATTTCTTCTTTTTGGGATGAAAGACAAAAACCAGCCAATATGTCCTGGCAATAATTTACGGGTAATTTTTCCCCGATGCCTAGAAATGGTTTTACGAGAGAGAATGAGAGAATGTCAGGGGTAGGATGGCATACTATAAATAATTCTTTCTTTGTGAAAGGTTATAATTTCTATTATGATTGTCTCAAATGCAGTCATCAATCACCTTGTCAGTGAATAATAATGCATTAGATCAGAATGTCTTTTTTGTCTGATCTTGTGTGACAGTTTGATGAGGAGAAATTACATTTTGGTTGTTACAATGTCTGTGGTTGCACAGTAATATAGCACGATTCTGGTGTTCGGAAAATTTCCAGCCTGTCTGTAAAAATAGTTTATGGTACAGCCTAAATGTAGGGAGAAATCCCAATATAATTACACTCTTTAAAACAACATTATTATAAGCTATGGTTCAGTGCTTCCCTTTATAGGGATTTAAAAAAATGAAGGTGGGTTCAGACTGGTTTTAACTTGCGGTATATCTCCCTCTTTTTTTCTCTCTTTCAGTACCACACAATAACTGATCCATAGTCTGTTCGTGTATGAAATGGTTACAGCTTTCCTCAATGAAAGGCAAGCCACTACCGAGGAGATGGCTTTAGTGAGCAATGCACTGGCTGCTTACTCCTTCATAGCAGGTAAAAACAAGTTTGGTACACTACTACTACCCTCACATCCCCACTATACCCTGCGCAAAAACTGGCCGATTCATTTTTATTCTATTTTCAATTACAATTTTGGTTTCAAACGATTATGAACACAAGATAATCATGTGCATAATTGCAATTCTGCAATTTTTGCAATGGACCCCCTTCTTTTGTCTTGTTATAAATAGACCCTTTTCCTTTACAGAGGCACGTTTTTCGCCCCTCCCTAAATGTTTTTTTTTTTATACTTTATATGCCAAAAATATTTTTATATTGAATACATGTTTACTACTTTTCAATGAAAACTGCTAATAATTCATTCTATATATAGAAATGAATTATACAAAATAAGCTCAAGGACTAAGGAAGTGCAATATAACAATTTATAGGTCTCAAGTATTTAAATCTAATTTCTTTTCATTTATTATTTATATTGTATGTATTATATTGTTTATTTTCAAATATATTTAAAGTTCAACTGTTAAAAAATATGAGTTTAATTACTGCATGATGTTTCCAAAGTCAGTGAGTAATGGTGTTAAATAATCTAAAACCGCTGTATTATGCAGCCAGGAAACACTACACGCCTATAGACTGAACATGTAATAGAGTGGTGCAGGTATGACGTCACTATAGGCCAACCGGAAGTTAGCATCACACTTTAAGAAAACCCAATAGGATTTTCCCATAGGCTTTTGGATTCTTGCTAAAAACAAGGTCTGTGATCAACAAAAGTTTATGATACTTGCACGTTTTGTCCATCAAGATAATTATCACAGATGAACACAACTTTTATGAATTCTGAAGCCTAACAAAGTAGGCTATAAACGAACCACGCCACAGTCCCACGACTTCAATGTCCCCTACACTAAGCTTCCGACAACTCTTTCAGTTTTATCTAAAAACATTTTCCCAGAAAGTTTGAGTTGGAATAGTTTATAAGAGCATAAGCATAATGAGGCTGTAAAAGAAGACTGTGTTTACCTGTTCGGTGTGAGGACGTTTAAGATGCCGACTGCCTCTGTTCCCATTTAGCCACTTGTTAGCAACCGCCTTTTTCAAGACACGTAACAGCTTAAAAAAATCATAAGTGGGGTAATATTGATGTATTTTATGTGGTAGAATAAAACGTGAAAAGTGTCTTGAGCTTGTGTTAACCGCAGACTTATTTTAGACATTTAACCAAAACCCTATTCAAAAAACCCATTGACTTCGGGACGATGGAACCATAGATATCATATAATAAAGGCTAGATGTCTTACGGCGGAGTCACTTCCGGCATCACCGTTCGGCCATCTTGTCACAGGCAGGCTCTGATGTAAGGTGAGTGATCAGCATGAACACAAATCCTCTTATCTCGCTGAAATCTTGACGGATTTACAAACGGTTTGGTTTCTTACAAACTTTATTAACATGGCTATAATTCTGAATGCTTGAACATATATGTTATAATTATTCATATGTATGCAGTGTCATAACTACATCTCTGACGTTTATAACAAACCAAACCATTTGAAAATCGGTAGAAAATTGAGCAAGTTATGGTTATTTAAAAGTACATGCACCATTAAAACACAATGTTACGAGTGAGCGAGCTGCCTGTGACAAGATGGCCGCCACGTGCGGATGTCGACCTCCATTGGCCAGCAGCGCGGACGCAAGGGGGTAATCCATCGACCGGAAGTTGAAGCCGGCCGGGTGCCGCCATGTTGTAGCAGAACTTCACTTGCGTTAGCATTTCCATTGACTCCCATTCATTTTGGCGTCACTTTGACAGCAAATAACTTTACATCTGAGGCGTTTAAAGACTCCATTTGTCCATTATTTATTTCTAAAGAAACACGACAATGTATAAAGGGCTCCATTACCTTCTATGTTACAGTATGGCCCCGTAGAAACAGATTTAGTAAAAATAGGCTAACGATTGCGTCATAACCACTCGACTCTCTGTCGCGCTGTACAGAAATTACCGTACAGACAGGAGGAGAAGCTCGCAGGCAATCGGGGGGACGTCCCGTCAAGGGAGAAGCCCATAGATAATGAGTCCATAAAAGCAACGGAATACTTACTCCTGCTCACTCACGCCAAAGAACTCTTTGCTCAAGTTCCCCGTCTCTGCAAGAATAACGTTGGCAATTTTCACGCACAGCTACTAGAAGATTAACGTCTGTCAGACAGGTTGCTCACGTCATCAAGCTTAGTTTGAGTCGGTCTGAGTCTGCGCGTCAGGAACGGAAGTGCTCAAAAATCGCTAAAAATGGGCTTCAACTGTCTCAACTGAGTTCCAATGAGATGGCTCTGTCCACTTCTTATACTGTCTATGCGCGGACGAGACATCTAGCCTTTATTATATGATATCTGGATGGAACCGCTGAAATGTTAACTCGCTTCCGCGTTTTGGCCTATAGAGTGATGTCATACCTGCACCACTCTATACGCATGCAAACACGTTTTCAAAAGTTTGTGTTCTCAGGCCCCCAAAACACTGTTGTCGTGTAAATGAACGGCCAAAAATGCATACAAAATTCTGTTTATTAGTTGAAATGCTTTCCAATGCATATGGGGGTGTAAAACAGATAAAACACACTGACATTTTTTACTTCGTGCTTTCAAAAATATAGAAACATTATTTTATTTAGAAATGAAAAATATCACCAGAAGCATAAACTGCATTTTATATATTTTTTACTTTAATTTATCCGGACACAATCCGTAACGAATGAAAACTTTTCTAACCTTCTGAACTTTTTTGCAGATCACCCGGAACGGGCGGCACTGTATTTTGTGTGTGGAGTGTGTTTGGGACTGGTTCTCACTCTCATCGCGTTAGTGGTGCAGATCTCCTGTCGAACCGACTGCAAAAGGCAGCAAGCGCCCAGGAAAACAGGAAAGACTGCGGAGAGCACCAGTGACACGAGCGACAGCGATTCAGACTGGGACAATACCTCCGACCTGTCAGCACGCCGCCACCGGCGCTTTGAACGGACGCTCGGTAACGTGTTTACCTCCGCCGAGGAGCTGGAGCGCGCGCAGAGATTGGAAGAACGCGAGCGGATTATACGGGAGATCTGGATGAACGGACAGCCGGACATGCCGGGCACACGCAGCCTGAACCGCTACTATTGAAGTCGTTGTAGGTTTGAGGAAATATTGAACTCTACAATAGCTATTACACTTTTTTGGGGATACAGTAAGGGACTGAGTGGCGTGGATGAATTTATGGTTTGAAGTATTCAAATAATTATCTTGTGATATTATTTTAAAACTCTTCAAATAACAAACATGCATTATAATTATTTAAACACAATAACAATACATCCAAGCAGCATACATTGAGAGAAATATGTCTTTTTTTAAATGCCACAAACTTGGAGCAACTTCAACAAATCTACATTTTGACCAGCTCCAAGAAAAATTTAACAGATATTAATTTCATAATGAGGGAAATTACTGAGTGCACATTTGAATGAAAACTTGTTTTAATGAAGAATTCACCATGAAATATAAAACAGGTGGAGGAAAAATAATATGCTTGAGCTTTGACTATGCTTGCCTTGAAATACTGTATTTTTAATTGGAATGAATTGCGTCTGAAATTAGTTTTAGTCACATAACAATTGGACAATTCAGACACCTAATTTTATTAAGATCTTAACCTTTAGTTGGCTGTAATATTATTTTTTTATTTAAGCAAAATGACTTTCTGTTACAAACACTTTTATTATACAAAAGCTTTGTCTTGGAGCTCAGGGTTTTCATGACCTCTGTGAAGGATTTCTTCTCATTTGTGAGATATTTTGTCAACTGACAAAACATAATGATTGTCTGTGCCTTCATTTTCGAAAAATTCGCTGTAAAAATAAAAAGATATTAAGGTGGAGGACTTACAGACATCTAACATAATCTCTTAATTTTCACAGTGTAGGCCTTTTTCAAGCAAGTATTAATTATGCATGGAAGACAATCACCTCTATTTGTACTATATTTTTCACAGGAATCAGGAGGATAGTATGAATTTTCAACATGGTGCTATAGTTCAAATCCATCCATGCATGAGCACAGTTGAGCAATCCAACTATGGTCCAGAAATGTCAGATATGTCCTCAAATATGTCCCTGTCCTTATTTCACCCTTTGGTGTTCAACACATGCAGCATTTTAATAACGTAACAAAGAGGCTCGTCTAATTCCACACCGATTTAGTACGTTTAAAAAATATTTTCATTTCATATATTTTCTATTAGAAAATGATTTTGTGAGGAATTTACATCTGGTTGTCTTTTTTATTTTTTTTTACATGGTTGTTTTAAATGTGTTTGAGGGGGAGTAATGTGCCAAAAGTTTGTCTGTGGATCAAGTCAATACATCTTTCCATAAAATAAAAACCGAAGCTTTTAAAGCGATTTGTTCATGCCAATACTTCTGTAACTACATTCTGAATGTCTCTTTGCACAAATGTTTACTGAATGTATTAGTGCCCTCTGTTGTCTGATGAGAGCAGGTGTTATGACATAATTCAATATACATTTGAAAGATTTTTATTCCAATATTAGGCCATGTAAATGAGGAGATGGACAAAAAGAACGAAGAAAGAGTAGGTACCTAAATAACCTTTTATAACTGTTTAGATGACTGAACAAAGAAACAATATTGAAATCTATGAAGTAGCATTTAATGGTACAAGACCATAATTTATATTAGCCTGGTACAAATGAAAACAAGATAGGAAGTTCTGAAAAGCAAAAGGCAAATTTGTAGTCATTTTAAAAGGTAGGCCTATACATTACGTAACTTTTGGTCCTCTAGCGGTTAAAATAACTTCAGACATTTTGAGGAAGAACATTGTTTTTGGCCTATGGTTCTAGCTCTGTGACTGTGCGGATGAATATGGTTATCTGCTCATAAAACATTCACTAGCACTACTTGGATTAAAGGAACACGCCGACTTTTTGGGACTTTAGCTTATTCACCGTATCCCCCAGAGTTAGATAAGTCCATACATACCTTTTTCATCTCCGTGCGTGCTGCAACTCTATCTGACGCACCTAGCTTAGCACAAAGACTGGATGTAAATGGCTCCAGCTAGCATACTAATCCCAATAAGTGACAAAATAACGCAAACATTTTCCTATTTACATGTTGTGATTTGTATAGTCACAGAGTGTACAAATAACAAGGTCATATGAGACACAGCCATCTTTTAACCGTATAAATACTGGGAACTATATTCTCAGAAGGCGAAGCACTGCTACTTGGGCGGAGTGATTACCACAGCACCTGAGACGCACCGCGGTGAGGAGCAGAGAGTTCGTTCAGAGTTGAAGTAATTGAGTCAGCAATGTTCCTTTAAAACTCATCACATGTGCTCGCGCTGATGACCGCTACTGAACATCTGAACACAAACAACGATCAAATGCACATCGACGGGTCTGTTCTCCAAAATGTAATCAAATGTATATTTCTTTCTGCAAGCATGGTTAAACTGGTTAACTGTGTCTAAGGCAGGCAAAGTAATTTTTCAAGTCGACTTTGCACGCCACTGCGCATTACGCACACATTACCGCGGGATGGTGGGTGTTAATTTCATAAACTGTGGTCAATGTTAGCTTATTTAATGTAGTCTATAAATTAATGTATATGTCCAAAAAACGGATAATGTTATACTTTGTAGTAGAGCTATCCTGGCGTAATAATCTGTTTGGTTGTAAAATGTATTAAATGCATTTTGTTTAAAGGGGTCATATAATGCCATTTTTGTACAAGTTAATATGAATGTTTAGGGTCTAAATGAAAAGTTTGTAATATACTTTAATAAAAAATTCTCATTAGTATTGTAAGAAAACACTAATTTTACCTGGTCAAAAACAGCTCTGTTTTCAGCACGCCATTTCAGTGCATATGCCTTTAAATGATAATGAGCTTCGCTCACTCCGCCCCTCTGTTCTGCGGGCGTTTAGACACAACACACGTGGAGTGTTGCCTTGACAACAGTTGAGGGTATATTTTGGAGAGAGAATGGCAGCGGGAGTCTCTGAGGACACATATGTGTTGCCAACTTTGCGCCTTTGTCGCTATTTTTAGTGACTTTCAGACCCCTTTATTGACATTTTTTCAAAAAAGCGACTAGCGTCAATTTTAGCGACTTTTTGGACAAACCTCAGTAACCTCCAAATTTTGCCAGTACTGTCCTGCGAGCGCGAGGTCTTGCTTTCTCCCTGTCGTCACTCTCTCTAGCTGCGTCTCCCCTGTTCATTGAATGGCTGAGTTCATCTGGTTCCCTAACTCTCTCAATTCAGATAATGTTCCACATAGGCCAATACAAAATGTAATCATTCACTATATTATAGCTACTCGTTCTATTGTCTGACAACAACGCAAGTCTACGACGCGATGACGTCATTAATATGCTAATTGACGTATGACGTCATCTAGCGACATTTAGCGACTTTTAGGGAAGGCCTTAGCTACTTTCCTTTGAAAATAGTTGGCAACACTGCTGTGCAATCGTATCAGTTTGAACCGGAGTCGGACCAGAACAAGATGACGGCCGCAAAGAAGTTCGACAATTAAGGCTTGAACAGGACGTTTCTGAATGGTTGGTTAACATAATCTCGCTTTGATCTATTTTTGTATGTACTGGCAGGGTAGAGTAGTGAACGCTGTGTTTACTGATGTATACGTTAGTTTATTGACAGATTGACGTTACAACTAATGGTCATGAAAAACTTTTTTTTCTCGATTTGCAAATATGAATATAAAGGTTAATATAACTTTACAATTCTTCTGGTGGTGCAGAGGGAACATAAATATTTGCTACCGATTCTTTTTTCAGGAGCAGCTTATACTGACCCTCGTTTAAGCAGTCTGGTGAGAAATGATTCGCGAAAACATGAAAGCATTTACGTTGATCGTGGGGAATATTACCTTCGAAAACAAAACTGCGTCTTCAGCGGTTCGGATTTAGGAACATCAAAATGACTGCTGTGTTCGTTATTACACCCAAGAACAGAACACCACAATCGCTTAGACAATAAGTCATTTCGCTTAGATCTGCTCCAGCGCATCAACAATGACGGACTATGATGACAGCTCGCGCAGTGCGGGTCTGTGTTGAAACACTGCTGTCAATCAACAATCGTGGGAGGGGCGTCCGACCGTGTGACGTCACATGGTCGAACAGGCTCGATTTGAGACAGGGAAAAACATATAAGGAGATTAAAACAAAAACACTGGATGGATTTTTATCATTATATGATGGTTGTGTACAGGCGCTGCCAACACACATTTCAGTACAATCAACTTGAAAAAGTGCATGTACCATTATATGACCCCTTTAAAAACACCTTACATATTGTGTAAGGTCCCGAGGCAGGTGCATATAACAGTGACAGGTCGAGTGGGAGGCGCCTATATCCGTGATGGTTGAGTGGAAGGCGCATATAACGGTGACGGGTCGAGTGGCAGGTGCGTATATCCATGATTGGTCGAGTGGCAGGCGCATATAACGGTGACGGGTCGAGTGGCAGCTGCCTCTAGCTATGACTGGTTGAGTGGCAGGCACGTATATCTGTAACGGGTAAAGTGGCAGCTGCCCCAGCTGCCACTCAACTAGTCACTAGCGGTGACTAGTTGAAGTGGCAGGCGCGTTTATCTGTGACAGGTGGCAGGTGCGTATAATGGTGACAGGTCGAGTGGCAGGCATATATAACGGTGATGGGTTGAGTGGCAGACGCATATAAATGGTGACAGTTCGAGTGACAGCTGTCCCTAGCAGTGACAGGTCGAGTGGCAGCTGCCTCCTACCACGCAAAGATTTTACCCCTACTGGGTGTCTTTGTGTTCGCGTACCCCGAAGTGATAAAATAAAACAAAATTCTTTATCAAATGTATAGGCAAGACAAGTAGTTTGTTCAGGCATGGTTTGTAGGGAAATTACAAACCTGCGCACATATATTCAAACGAATCTAACTATAGAATCAATTTTTAATGCGCATGTGAACGCCATCAGGTCACAGGTTCGCGTTTAAAGTCTGTTTAGAGAGAACGCCGTCGTCTTAGTGACCCCTAATGTAATAACACATGATAATTTTGCTGGAAGTGAATCAATCAAAACTAACTTTAGCTGGAAATAAC